TGATGGAGCGAGGGATCGTGCATGGCATGCAGTGGTGTGACACTCGCGACATGACCGTGGATGACCACACAAAGGGGAGCATTGACAGAGATATGCTCCTACAGCGGGAGGTACGCAATCCTTCAAGCATGACTAAAAGCGTCATACTCCTTATCGGGCTGGCCAGACATTCTGGTTTGCGGCCGCCTGAGGAGCAATCACATGCACAGTAATGTGCTTGCAAGGCAACTTGCTTGCGGGTCCGCCTTCCTTACGGCCCCGCCTTTTGCTGCTTTTTGTACATAGTAGTTGCTGTATCTGCTGTGTAGTGGCGGCGGACTCACGGTTCGTCTCCCTCCCCCCCGACTCTAAAGCGAGCTAGGATACAGGCGAGAGGTAACGAGCGTGTGTCCGCGGCCGTTTGTGCTCAAGCGGCCCGCCGCCGATATCTGATTATACTTCAGTGCGAGGTGTACGATTCGCCATCGAGACCGAAAACATCCTTCGCTTGAGATGGCCCGTCGCTCCCGCGACGATACCCTACGACTGGGACTACCGCTGCTACGATACAACAGAGCTGGAGCTGTGTTTCGCCTGAGGCGAAGCTTCTGGTCGGGCCTACCGGCCCCCTTCAAACTTTGGGGGCATCCTGGGGACCTTTTGGGGGCCTCATGGCTCATGGGGCCTCGTGGCCACCTCTTGGGGCCCTCTTGGGGCACCCTTGGGACCCTGGGGAGCGCTCTTGGAGCCATCTCGGAGGAGATCGATCAAAGAAGGGGGGTCCTGAATTATCCCTGCCCCCCAAAAGGCCCAAATCAGGCCGAAACCCAAATAAAACTAATGATTGCGGCTTCCTCGCCGAGGCCGTTTTGGAGGTTTTGACCACTCGCGGGGCGCCCCGTCCAGGTCCAGGGTAGGGGGTAGGGGAAAGGGTAAACCCCCTCACCGAAGGAGAAGAAAGGGGGTTGGAAGGAACCGCCCTTTACCACCTACGCCCAGAGGGCTGGTGGGATGGTGTTGACTGCCATGTCTTCTGGTTCTTCTTCTATATTCAGAGGCCATTTGGGAGGCCTCGAGATGATAAAAAGTCGGCGGTAAGCGAGGGGGAAGGCCTTCTCAGAAGGCGGCGGGACTTCTCAGAAGCCCTCACGCCTTCTGAGAAGTTGTTCTGTCTTCGGGGAACACTTAGACAACTTCTCAGAAAGCCGGGGGACTTCCGAGCCTTTTGAGAAGGTCCGCCCCTTCTCACTTCACCCCCCCACTCTCCGCCGAGAAATGGAGGATGGAGAGATTCACGCCTACATGTAGCATGCTATGAACGGCCTCGCGCATCCCGCCAGCCCGAGGAGAGCACCCGCCCTCCAGATTTTGGCGTTCGCGTGCCAATGCAGAGCAGGTATGTGCCCCCAAGGCCACGACGAAGGCGTCAATTTGGCACCCCCTTCACGCACTTCTTTTGCCCCCAGGCTTATGAGGCACGTGTAAACGCGAGGGATCCGCAGGTCAATTCTCATGACTCGGCACGCACTAGACGCCCTTTGTGCATCATGAGTTCCAAGGGGCCATCAACTGACCCCACAGACGGTTCAATGGAACTTCGATTCGGCAAACCCTTCACGCCGTTCGTGCCCCACGACCCCCCTGAAGGCCTTCTGCTGGCTCCTGAGACCGCTTGCCCCCCCCAGAGGGGCGCAGAGATAGTTGGCTGTGAGCGAAGTTGTAACGAGTGGTGTCGACCCTCGTCGAAGCCATGCCCCGAACACTCCGGACACTGATTGCAAAGTCTGAGCGCGATGCTTCCCTGGAGGGGCCCGCCGTGACTCACTCGCCCAGCGGGCTCGATATGGCGGGTCCCCCTGCAGGCTCTGGCCGCGTCGGAGTCCTGTGAATTGGCACGGTGGAGGAGATTGGAAGGCGCGAGCCAGGACAGGCAGACTGGAACGCTTGCTGGGCTCATTGGAGCATCCATCGAAGAAGAAAGACCGCCACAAACATAGAACACACAATCCTGAAGAGCCACTCTTGGGAAACGGTCGGAGCTGCCGAGGAGGAGGAAGAAGCGGGCCAGACGAGAGAGGAGTGGAAGGAGGGAGGAGAGGGAGGAGAATAGGGAGGAAGACGGGAGGAGGAGAAGTAGAAGTAGAAGTAGTAGTAGTCGTCGTCGTCGTCGTCGTCGTTGTCGTCGTCGTCGTCGTCGTCGTCGTCGTCGTAGTCGTCGTCGTAGTAGTCGTAATAGTCGTAGTAGTCGTAGTAGTCGTAGTAGTCGTAGTAGTCGTAGTCGTGGTCGTAGTCGTAATCGTAGTCGTAGTCGTAGTCGTAATCGGAGTCGGAGTCGGAGTCGGAGTCGGAGTCGGAGTCGCCTCCCCCTCCTCCCCGGCGCCCCCTGTGGTGCGTTTGGTGTATGAAATTATAGCATTCTGGCAAACGTGCTCGCTCCCGCTTCGGCGCCGGTAGCAGTTTTGGAACGCTGGGGGGCCCGATGCTATTTTTTTCCCATCCGAGCGCCCTCTCCAAAAAACACCGGGTGTCGCTGCAGACCGGTGTTTTTAATCTGTCAGGCCGGCTGGGCTTTTAAGTCGGTGGCTCTTTCGCACGGTCAACTGTGCGCCTAGCCATTTTGGCTTGCCATCCTGGCCTCTTCTCGCGCCTACTTGCGCTCGTTGGCCTCGCTGGCGGTACTGGGGTCGCCCCGTGTGCTGCCGTGCCGCCGCTGTGCGCCTAGCCATTTTGGCTTGCCATCCTGGCCCCTTCTTGCGCCTTCCTGCGCTCGTTGGCCTCGATGGCGGTACTGGGGTCGCCCCGTGTGCTGCTGTGCCGCCGCTGTCGCTTTATTCTGGGCCGTAGGGACCAGCTGCCCTCGGATAAGCGCCCGCCGCTGCATGCACGTCAGACCCGCCATTTCACCCAGAAGAGGTGCTTGCTACATACTGGAACTGAGGCAGCCACAAGGACGCTCATCCCAAGGCGGTTGAGCCGTGGTGATGTGGTGCACGAGACCGAGTAGTAGTAGTAGTAGTAGTAGTAGTAGTAGTAGTAGTAGTAGTAGTAGTAGTAGTAGTAGTAGTAGTAGTAGTAGTAGTAGTAGTAGTAGTAGTAGTAGTAGTAGTAGTAGTAGTAGTAGTAGTAGTAGTAGTAGTAGTAGTAGTAGTAGTAGTAGTAGTAGTAGTAGTAGTAGGTAGTAGTAGTAGTAGTAGTAGTAGTAGTAGTAGTAGTAGTAGTAGTAGTAGTAGTAGTAGTAGTAGTAGTCGTAGTCGTAGTCGTAGTCGTAGTCGTAGTCGTAGTCGTAGTCGTAGTCGTAGTCGTAGTCGTATTCGTAGTCGTAGTCGTAGTCGTAGTCGGAGTCGGAGTCGTAGTCGTAGTCGTAGTCGT